CCATCAGGAAGCCAGGGGAGGCAGCAGCAGTCTGAGCCACGCCCCACAGCTCTGGTAGGTGACACCGCACAGCATCTCCCTCCGCGGCCGCTAACACAGACGACACCAGCCTTTAGAGGTGCACAGCGCTCACCACCGCTAAAACATGAGGAACTAGATTCAGATCTCCACCGCCTGGCTATGGAAACCAGGCTCTCTTTTCCACAGGCCACACCCAAGCCGCTGTGTAAGGAAGTGCCCAGAGACAGAGGACAAGCCACTCTACATGCTGGCTCCCTACAAGGCCAGGCTGCAGGCATGCAGCAGTCCTAGGTGCTCCTGTGCACTCTAGACTCCAGCACTCAACGCTGCTGCACCATTTCAGCACTGTAACAGCACAAGGGTGTCAATGGTAGCAGAACAGGGCACACTTACATATACATGTATTTATCCAACTTTGCTGCAAAGTGACGGGGCATTTCCCCACAGCCATAGTAGTTCCGGTCATTTTCAGGGAGATGATCCACATCGTGGAAGATGACACAGTCCCAGGCATTGTCCTTCATGGCTTCTTTGAAGCCCACATTGAAGAGCATCGCACGGTTGAAGGGTTGTGTGCCGGTCTTCAGCAAATGCAAAAAGAGAAGTGTCAGACTTTTGTCATCTGACTTTTCCCACTTTGTTTTAACTTGTCGAATCATGGTCAAATAACAGAAATGACACCCAAATCAAAGAGACAAGTCACAGCCATTTGTCAGGATTTTCAAATACAGGGCATCGATTAACAGGGAGATACATTCTGCAAAAGGTGTCATTAGGTGATTTTGTCATTGTGCAAATCAATAATTTAAGCAAGTTAAGACAGTCACACTACCACAAGGTGATGCAGGGACCACTGCTGTAGGTGCAGTCCACAGCTGGGAGAAATGTCAGTACACAAAGCATGATTGCACAGTGTTTAATTTCACTTACACTTCTTTATACTTTGGTTAACACAGAAAACAATTACACAACTGCTATCATCTAGCCCATTAGTACAGTGCCACATTGTACGTGATAATGGAATTCGTATTTCTGCTTTACTTCAATGTATCAGGCCATGAATTATTTATGACAGGAAAAAAGAACAGTAAAAGTAGTACCCTACAGTAATGCAATTAAAAATAATACACACTTATTTCTTAGTGACACTTTTCTCTGTGCTACTAAGACCTAGATAGGTAACTAAAAGTGACAAACTGTACCCTCTTCTCTTATGTAACAAAGTCAAAGAGGCCCAACTTGTATTACTAATGCTTATAATAAGGATCACAGGAATCCTGGAGACAAAAACAAATCAAACTCGCCACACAGACCCAGCTTCCTTCATTGTAACCATTTTCACTTACTAAGAAAAAGTACTAATGTGCACATGCAATGGTTTATTATTCTTGCTGTGACAAAAATAAGACCATTTTCAGGGAATAACAATACATAAAACATAACTTCTTATATGGCATCATTTTCCTTTAGTAGTGAAAATATATTAAGATACACTGGCAATAGAAGGTTTATTTCTCATATAAAAAAATAAAGGGGCATTTACCAATGTCTTATAACATTTTTGAAATAATTTCCAAAACAACAACAAAAAGGATGAGGGTAGAAGTGGATACACTCTGTAGTGATCTCTAACGTCTGCTCCAGGGAGAGAAATCAATCATCTTTCCACTTGGACCTTGTACTAATGTGAGGTCACAAATCACATTTTATGCCTTTTTTCACCAATGAAACAGACTAACAGGAAAAGGAAGTGAATTACTAACATCAACATAAGCCTTGAAGAATTTTTTTTAAAAGACAGGGTCTTGCTATGTATTCCAAATTGGCCTCCTATTCACGGCAATCCTCCTGACTGAGCCTCCCAAGTACCCCTTTAAGATTTTAATGTGTTTTTTTTTGAGGAGCTGGGAAGATAGCTCAGCAGCATAAGCATCTGGCAAGTGCAAGGTCCTGAGTTTGATCCCTGGTACCACAAAAAAAAAAAAAAAAAGGATTGACATTTTTATTAAATGTGGACATATACTTAAAAGTTCCTAGTAACAGCAAGAAGATCCATGTCTAACTCATCAGCAACAGCCAACCCAAGACACATCAACTCTTACCTATTTACTCCAGTATTTTTCTCCATATCTTGAGGTAATGAGAGTTCTGACATTTTTTATTTCATTAACATCGGAAAATGTCTAATGAAAGAACTAATTGTTTTGTCAAACTCAGACTAACTAGTGTTCTATGTAACTTTGTGCAAAAGCCTCAACAGATATGCCCAATACCTATGAATGATCAAATTGCTATCCGTTCCTTCTCTCCAGCTCCATTCCTTCCAGTGTAGACTGGTTGCTGTCCAGCGTCTGTCTGTCTGTCCTCTCTTTCTCTCTCCCCCCCCCATGCCCAAAAAAGGATTGGTAATCCCACTTCTACCCTCACACATGAACTGGCACCCTCCCACTTCACCAGGCAGACGATCTACATTGAAAACAACTTTTCCCTAGACCATGAAAGGTATGGGCCACAGATCCTGGCTCGAGGCACTGCTAACAGACTGCCTACGTTCAGGACTTGCACTACGCTTCACAAAAGATGTAACATCCTTTGTAGGACTCTAAAGACTCATATCTAAAGATTCATATCTTCATCCTTGGGAAATGTCTTGAAAATTTTTTCATTTCCTTCCATGCCCTCCAATATTTTCTGTTATGGCTTTTTCAGAATTCTAACTCATGTTACTGAACTCTTAAAAATAAATAATAAATTTAAAACAAATTCTAAATCTTTTAAAAAGAATTATAACTGAATGTATTAGTTGCCATCTAACAACAAATCACAGCAAAAGCTAGTGATTTAAAACTAAAGCCAGCTTCAATTTCTTTTTCTTTCCTCTTTTTCTCCTTCATGTATTTGATTGTTATAGGGTCTCACTATGCAGCTCGGGCTCATAGTGATCCTCCTGCTTTCAGCCTCCCCAGTGCTGGGATTACAGGCATGTGCCACCACTCCCAGACTCTGTCTGGCTCAGCCTGCCCTGGGGGCGGGGCCAGTGTGGCATGTGGTGCTGGGGATCAAACCGAGGTCCCTGTGCTTGTCCAAGCTTGCCTAAGCAGGCACTTTAGTCCACTGAACTATCTCACAGGGCCCCTTTTTTATTTCTTAAACTTTTTTTTTCTTCTTTCTTTTTACCAATTTTGCATGCTTATATCTGGTAATCTATACAACTAATTTGAGGACCACATCATACAACACAGCAACTGTTATCAAATCCCTACTATTTTTGTTTGATAAAATTCTGAATCATTTCTAATGTTTTGTATTACTATTTTGTATTCTTTAGATAATAAAAGATTAAATATATAAATATTTCAAATTAGCCAGAATAAATAAATAAATGAAAAACTAAAGCCACGGGCCTGGTGGCAGAGAGGTCTAATATGCATGAGGCCCTGGGTTCCATCTCCAGCATCAGAGGAAAAGAGCCCAGCAGACATTTATTATGGGGATCATTTCTGTGGGAAGGAATTCTAGGAGCAGAGCCGAGCACCTCGTCTCTGCCCACAGCACTCAGCAGCTCCGCTGGAAGACCGAGGCTGGTAGCGCAGGAGGATCTGCGCCCCGGGCGGCACAGTGGCTTCAGGGCATGCTGCAGGGGTGTTTCTCCAAAAGCATCTAAGCACCCACCCACGTGTCACAGTAGCTGGCTTGCTGAGAGCTGAGCCAGCACAGCAAGGCATAAGCAGCAATGTCTCTGATGTCCTAGCCTCAGAAGTCCTGCCTGCTACGTCCACAATAGCCAGCTCCCTGACAACTGGCCTTCCCTTTGTGGGCCACCTTGCAGGGTAACAGTACAATTAGATCTGCCCATATTTCTTGAGCTTTGGTTCTGTGTTAAGAGGTATTTCACCTTCAAACTATGCTACTATCTTTCATTATTTTTTCTTCACTCTATGGCTCTTGATCATATTTTTATTGACTATCCACCTGGCTTTGTTGTTTAAAGGATTATTTCTACTGCTTTCCACTTCCATTTTTGTTTGTCCTTTTGGAGGCTTTCTTCAAAATGTGGGGTCTTTGGCTGCCTTTTCGTGTTGTAAATAAGACACTACATACAAAGCTAAACAAATCTTCACAAATATATGCAGACCACAACTGTTCAAGCTACTTGATTCACATATACCACACCTTCCTCAAAGCAAACGAAAACACAAAAGCCCCACATGGCAATTTTCTTCTTTATTCAAGACAAAGTCCCTGGTATCACGTGTGGCTGTTTTCCATTGGTTACTTGGCATTTCTAATTCCCAGAAAATAACTACTTCTTAAAACCCAACACAGCCCAAACCCAAGCACAGCTCAAATTTCGTCCACTACCACTGGAGCACAAGTCATCTTCATGCACAACTGCAAAAGCTTTCTGCCTGTTCTCCTTATTTCAGCCCTGCCCAGCTACAGCTTATTCCCTACACAGCACCCAGTCTGTTTTTAGGTTGTCACCTCTCCACCCGAGCCTGCATTCCGACATCACACAGGGGGCTCAAGCCTCACACCTGTCTGCAAGCCCACCACCTACTTCTCACAGGCTTCTCAGACTTCCTCCCCAGCACCCTCCACTTCACACTGGTAACAGTGACCTCTCTGCTCCCACTGCACACAGCTCCTCCTGCACGGCCTGAATGTAGGCCCTGTCTGCACACTGCTCCTTCATGCTGGTCAGGATGCTCTGAGCTTATGTCCTCAGACAGGCCCTGCTCACACCCTCAGCAGAGAAGAGCCATCTCTCTGCTTTCAGCACTCCTCTAGGCAGAACCTCAGCACTACATGCTGTCTGACAACCACACCATTAATGACTCTTTCCTCCTCCCAAACATGTTCTACCTGCTGTGCCCACTGCAGCATGTCCTTCAATGAATAAGGAGAGTGGGCTGCATGGAGATGACAACGTGATGAGCTGGACCTTTCCTTTGGGGGGTCTTTAAATATTAGATCCTGGGGCTAGTCTACCTCTCTAAAGAAGTCACCATTCAGGTCCTGTCATGGTTGAAGGTGTAGGGGATTCCTACCAGACTGCTGAGCTCAACAAGCTGAACAGGGAAAAGGCCTGAGGACCTCTGGGGTCAGCACGCAGACTCACTTAATGCCCTGCCTTCATGCCCACAGTACAGCGGTGTCAACAGTCAGGATTTCTGACTCTCCCCAGAGGATCCATCCCCTTTTCATTTTGCACAGGCCACAACGGAGTAATCACCTGACCACAGAAAGACCAGAGATGTGCTTGGGGTTAAATCCTTGCTTGTCACATCTACCCTCCCGCAGCGCAAGCCCTACACATCCTCTGCTCCACCGGGCAGTGGGCAGCTCAGATGAGCCCCATCTCTCTGTCCAACAGTTTAACAAATGAAAGAGACTTTTTCTTTTACTCCCACTTTTGGAGTCTGCAAAAGAGAAGAGGCGACCTTATGCACACTCTTCCGTTTTTAACCAGAAGTTTTTGAGCTGCTCTTCAATTGCTCTGCTCTTCTCCTGGGAACCCATCCAGCAGGAAAATCACACTTCTACTTCATATGTGGTAAAGGTGTTTCCAGCTCAAAAC